TGAGGCCCGTGTGCACAATGTCGAAGAGCAAGGCGGTGTCTGGGTGCTTGAAGCGGTTGTAGTGTGTCTTTCCCACCAACGCAGAGGTGCACTATAGAAAAAAGGAATATCCAATTTAAAAAAAAAAAAAGGAGAGAGACACAGAAAAGAAACAGGTTGCACATGTGTGAGTTGGGCCCGTATTGGCGCGAGTTCGCTCAAGCGTATGCAGAATGGGTAGAGAGGCTTGCAGCACGGAACATCGTTTGAAACAATAACAAAGTAGCAGCCTGCTATACCCAGGCACAGACACACAAAGACAACAAACCACAAAGGATGGGGCAGACTCACACGTACAAACACAAACATAGACGCGGATAAAAAAAAATAACAATCAAAAGAACGGGCCCACCCAACCACGATAAACCAACAACAACAACAACAACAACAACAACAACTTAACAACAACAACAACAACAACAACAACAACAACAACAACGAGCAGGGGAGACCAGCACCTTGAACGCAGCAAGCCGCACGGATGGGACGGCCTCTGTTGTGCAGGCGCGGTGCAGCGCTATGTGTAGTTGGTGCAGCGAGCCGCTCAGCGTCTCCGCATACGACGTAAACGCCAGCGCTTTGCCAGACCTGATGATTGTGATGGTCATGATGGTGGCGGTGAGCGGTTGCGTGGTCCAAGCGCACAGATATGCGCATGGAAGTCGACACACATGAACACACACACACACAATTACGCACATGTTCGCATGTGCACACGACTCACTGCTCGGCAGTCATGAGGAAGGAACGGCAGTGCTGCAGAAGACACGACGTCAGCGAAAGCGCAGCCGTCCGCACTGCACACACACACACACACACCCACACACCCACACACACACACACACCCACACACCCACACACCCACACACACACACACACACACACACACACACACACACATTGTGATGGTGGTGAGCTCGGAGGGAAGGAAAGTTGGAAGAAAACGAAAAGAGTGATTTCGTGGGCGTGTGTTCAAACGCACACGTGTGAATGTCATCACGTGTTCAAACGCACACGTGTGAATGTCATCACGTGTGGTCATGTGATCAGGCACCAGAGGCAGCAGCTGCGCACGTGTTTGGTGAACGGTTCACCTTTGGGGATGAGGTCGCGTGCAATGACGTTGTACACGCTCGGTGCTGGTGCAGGAAGGGAGTGGAATACGACGTGGGGTTGGTGGTGGTGTCAGTTGCTAGAAGTAGCAGTTGCACGAAACGACAGCAAGCCATCCAAGCCATCCAAGCAATCCAAGCCATCCAAGCCATCCAAGCAACCCAAGCAATCCAAGCAATCCAAGCAACCCAATCAATCCAAGCAAACAACACACACACACACACACACACACACCTGTTTCTTCGAGGGACTCTGGGAAGAATGAGAGCCAGTAGCGAAACAAGACCTTTTTCGGGCACAGCTGCAAGCAAAAAAGACAGAGACAGGGGTAGGGTGGGCAATGTTAGTGCATACAACACATCATTCTTGCAGGTGCTGCGTGCACATGTAAGTGTTGTTCCACCTGCTGCATCATCTGTACGTCACCACTCTCCTTGACACGCGTGCGTGGTGATGTATGTGTGTGCGTGTGCGTGCGTGCGTGGTGATGCGTCTCACCAGCGCAATGGTCTGTGCGCACTGAATGGCCTGCACACGAATCTGGTGCGCAAAGACCCTGGCAAAACCGATGCATGGGATCCAGATGCAGCAGCGCGGCAAAGGCAAAGATGAGTGCCGACATGCAGCTGCAGCACTAAGGTGGTGTTGGTCACCGCCGCGCAGCACACGGGGATGCAACCAAACACCAGCACCAATCGCAGCTTGCAAGGCATGAACCATGCCCACCATCGCCAACTCAACTCCCGCCCATCAATCATCGCCGCTACCGTGGCCACACCGTTTGCCGCGTGCGATTGCAGAGGGCGACGCGTCCGAGAGCTCCGATTCATCAGAGGCGCCTGAACACACACGCACATGCACATGCACATGCACACGCACACGCACACACACACATGCACATACACACATTTGCGAATGAGTAAGAACAATGCACCTACAGATACAAGCGAGTTCAAGACACAACATTAGCATCACCACCACCATGACCACCATGACCACCACCATCACCACCATGACCACCACCACTATTGCCGTACCGCGCTGCCGCTGGTGGTGCTGCGGTTGATCGCGGCGATTGCGGCGGCGGCGGCGGTGCTGTTGGTGCTGGTGGTGTTGATGCTGGTTTCGTTCTTGGCGTGCGGTGCCAGCTCCACTTCTGGTGGAAGGAATGATCCCATCGTGCATGCACGCACACATGAGAGTAACAGCCAAGCAACAGTAACAGAGAGAGAGAGAGAGAGAGAGA